TCGCCCATGCTGGTACAGAGCGGGAGGGAATGAGGGCGAGCAACGTTCAGCTGCCACTAAGAAAGGCAAGCCCTGCTCCCACCAGCTGTGCCTGTGCTACGAGATCATGCCCATCTGTTGTTCTTTCACTTGTTTACCTGAATGTTAATGGAGTCGGACATAATGACTTCTGGAAAGAAAAAAAAGTGATATTAAAAAAACAATAAACAAAAACGAAACAAAGCAATCCCCCTTGTTAGTGGATTTTTAATGATGCGTTGTCAGATCTTGTTTCCTTCTGTTGCCTACAGATCCCTGCCACATCTTCCAAGGGAACAGGCTTGTCTCATTCTTGTATTCAAGCAAAATTCAGGCTGCAGGGAATGCCGTCCTCAGCTGACCCTCTAGGTGGTTTCCCATGAACATGATGCTCTTTGCTTTACGCCTTAAAACACTTGGATTGTGGCACTGCATTGTTGGTCCAGATGGAGATAAAATTATTCCTGCCTCCGGAGCTAGGATTAAGCTCATGTGAGTCACTGTCAGACCCAGGCTGGTGTTCAACAGGAGGAGAAACAATAGTGGAGTCTAACTGGCAAAGCACAGTGCTTATTTGGCATCTAGGGCGTGTGCCTTGGGACCTCAGCCTGGATCTGTAACCTTCCCTGGCTAAATGCAGTTTCCTCTGTTTGCACTTCAGTCCGAGCATTAGCACTGATGTGCTTGAAATGGATGAGTTGAACATGATGCTGTGAGAGGACTGGGCAAACCAGGCCCCTTTAAGGTGCTGTTAAGTGGAGACACGGGTTATTCCTGGAAAACAGTAGTTTTGCATGCAAGTAGGAGCATGTGAGGCCACATGGATAACCAACTGTGAGGGGAAGAGGTGGGTGGAATGCTTGCAGCCTATTTGTGCTCATGCTGCACCGACAACCCTGGCTTACTCTTCTCTTTAACATTTTTCTCCAGAGATCTGAAAGTCACTTGAGACCTTGCTGTGGAACTCTAATGCCTAGGAATATGACTGTGGAATGTCTCTTTTTTTTTTATTTTTTTTTTTTGTGAAGCAAGAATTTTCAGTAGATAAAATACAAGCATGAATTTTTCTAAACTAGACCAAGCTGGGATTTTTTCCAGTGGAATTCTTTTCCACTTCCCTCCCAGACTTTTGGGGAGAGAGATATTTTAACCCTCTAGAGTGTTTCTAATGAGGTATTTTTTGCTTTGGCAAGCTCTGTGCCGTAAGCCTCTTCTGGGCCATTTCTTTTTTAAGTAGCAATGTGCCTAACTGTTTCCTACTAAGAGAGGTACAACTAACATGCATAAATTGCTTTCATCCATACCTCGATCAGAGGTTGTCAAAGCTCTAACCAAGATTTGCAATATTCTCACAGGAGGGAATAAAACCAGCCAGGTCTCCCTTGCTAGAGCTGTTTATGGTGGAGCTTTCTGCAGAGGGAAGCAG